GAGTTGAAGTCCACTCATCTTAAAGTGGCCAAGTTTGGACAACACTGGCTTATATCTAATATAAAATTTAAACAACAACATGTACATATTGCTTTGTAGTGGTGACGGTGTCGAATTAGCACCAGGGAGAACAGGTTCTATTCCGCTTTCAGCCAGGGAAGATGGTCACTCCAATCTACTTCACAGGGTGAGGAAGCAACGACGTAGAAATGCATAGTTGAGCAGAAGCGTCTCTTTCTTCGCTTTAAAACATAAAAGCAAAGGTGCCGGTTCCTGTTCTCTCTAACCTAGATTTCATTGACTTGGTACATCTTTTCTAAGGCCTTATCCATGGCTGATAGCAATGGCGGATTCGCATTTCGCACAAGATCATAATGGCTTAGTGAACCCTCACGCCCCGGAGATGGGAAACTACTTTTCCTTATTTTTTTTTCCCTGCAAGAAATAATATTGCGAGCGAGTGGACTGTAACTGAAACAGAACGGCTTTCGACAGCCCTGCAGCGTAGGCCAGCGTTCTGTACTTAACAATAAAAACCGCTTTAATGCCACCTTGGGGTCGCCTCGATTTTTTCAGATCAGATCTGGTAGCACTAAATAAATCAAAACTGTGCAGAATCATTCGTCGGCATTTTAAAATACCGTTAGTAAGACACCTCACCCTCAAGTCACTTGAGTTATTCTTATAAAAGTTCTTCGTCTTTTCAGCATTAACTAAAAAAAAAGGTCCTCCCAGTCACTCCCACATCGTGCTACTCTACAATCTGTCTCTATCGTATTTGTTCCCCTGCTTGCGTTTCGGAGACCGGAAATCGTTATCGGTGACCTACAGGAAGTGGTTTCTGCGGGCGGTTGTCCCGGCTGGAGCCGTGTGGTGCCTGAGGAGTTGCCTCGCGGATTTCTGCGGAGCTGCGTGGGAAGGCGGTGAGTTATTGGAGCGCGAGCGAGCGGACGGCCTGATAGACACGTTCCCTCTTGCGTATTTTGATCGCCACAAGGACAGCTTTGCCCCAATAGCTGGGAGTCGTGGGAACGGGCTGGTGTCGTTGCTGGGCGGAAAGTGAGTTCTCGCTGCGACTCAGTCCCAGGCGTGAATTAAGCTTCGGGGTGCTTTCCAACTATGTTTGACTATACTTCCTATCACCGAATGGGGATGATAGGTGTTGTAGTACAGCATTTCGAAAAGGGATCGCATCGGGGAAGCCGGTCCTACCTTTGATTTGGTTTATGGGTGCCCTTTTAAAAGTTGTGCTAAAAACAGCACTCCGTTTCTATTTTCCTCCCTGAGCCCCTGAAGATTACTTCATTTGCTCGTTTCTAAGGGCTGCCATGTCTCTAGACTGCTGTTTTGTGGAAAGCTCCATGTGAGCGTGGCTCCGCCTTCTTCCCTTTTAATAAGAACTCAGAGGAGTTTATGTCAATCTTTCTGTAGCCTCACCTCTTCATTATTTGCGAACTCCTGGCTGGAGTTTTCTCTTGGGGTTGCCTTGGCACACCTATTTTTATAGTATTTCTTTCCCCCATTACTCTCTGCTTTTTTTTCTTATGATTACAAATGAAACGAGCCACTCTGTTAATAACCCAACTCTCAAATATTGCATTGTGTAGCTTAGAAATCGAGTAATGTGACAGAATTCCCTGTCCTTAAATATGTCATTTGCCTACAATTACTAAATGATTTTCCACACCATTTAAAATATGATCTATGCAATAAGGATACAGACATACTGTACATGTGCCTTCCAGTCAGTGTTGACTCCCAGCGACTGCCTGGAAAGTCCCTGCAATTTTCTTGGCGAGATTTAAAAACTGGTTTACTATTGCCTTCTTCCTAGGACTGAGACAAAGTGACTGTTCTAAGATCACACAGCTGGCTTTGTACCTAAGGCAAGACTAGAAATCAGTCTTCCAGTTTTTAGCCTGGTGCTTTAACCACTGCACCAAACTAGCTCTCTTACTGCACATGTAATGCTAGGAAATTCAAAACCAGGAACAGCAATAAATTATGTCTCTTAACCCATCAAAACTAAATCACCAAAAAGGGGGTATATCAACCTTCTCTGAATATGGAGCCCTCTGAGTATATTATGACTGCAACTGCCCAGAATTCCCCTGATAATATGGCTGTTTGTCATGCTAGCTAACTATTCTGGGAATTATAGATCTAAAAGATTTGAATGGTGCCATGCTGAGCAAAGCCCACCTATGTAGTGTTATTTCATGTGTGCACCAGCCACAAAAATCTTTTCAGATCAAGTTTGATGAAACTGATTTTGATTCAGATTAAGTCAGATGCTGTTTGATTCAATTTGCAATCTGAGATTTGGAAATTTAAAGCTTCATAAAAACACAAAGTCAGCCCAAGTCCATCATTTTGTTTTTCACAGTGGCCAACCAGTGCCTCTAGGTTACTTGCAAACAGGAGATGGAGGAATAACCCTTTTCACCATTGTTCTGAGGTTGGTATTTGGAGGTACTTGAGTCTCAAGACTAAAAACCCTTGATGTATCTGTCCTCTGTGAAGTTCCAAATTCCTTTTAAAACCATCCAAGTTAGTGGACATTACTATATCTTATGGTAATGAATTCAACAAGAATTATTTAGTTCTTGTGGACTAGGATGGGCAACCCAAAACAACCAAAACTTTTGAAATGTTCACACGATATACTGAAACTGCAGGCACAATATATCTTTCTGATGGGATGAAGGCTGCTCACTTTCATGGGAGCTGGGCTTTTAGACCAAGACATCTTTAATTTCATATTTTAAAAGACAATATGTATAATTTTGGACAAAATTAGATTAAATATGCAGACAGTACTGCCCCTTCTATAGGAATAATACTTCCCAAATATTCAAATAAATTGGTGAAGGGTTTTGTGCAAAATCACATTCAAAGCCATTTTCTTTGCTCAGTGCCACTTGTGCTGGGATACTGATCAATTGACAAGGCAGATATTGATGCAATATCTACTCTTTGACTATAGTCAGGTATTTCATAATCTCAGTTACTTTACTCAATAGGTGGATCATGGAATTAGCTGATAGCAAGAGTTGTGTTTTCTTGGTTCCCAACTTGGCACATCACAGACTTAACCAAAGTTTAAAAACCAAGTTCTACTCTTTCTGTGTGTATTTCCATTTTAAACAAGATTCCTATCTCTGTATAATATAGTATAGTGAACAAGAAAAGCAATTCTGTCTTCTAAATGAGGAAAGTGACTACATATAGGATTTTTAAGAGAGTTCAGCTGATAAGCATTACTTCTGGCTGTGCTGCCTGGAAGTAAGCAGCAAGAAATAATTTCCTGATCATTACTATATGTTTTTATCTGCAAGGAATCTTGAGGTGTCATCCAGTGTGTGTGTGGGGGGAATAGTATTTGGCCTGAAATATATTCCAGTAAATTCTACAATGAATATACCTATATCTATATACATAGATATAATTTTGAAATACATTATATAAGGATACACACACACACACACACTTAAGATATTCTTTATCAGAAATGATCTTACTTGTATTTTGATAATACAGGCAGTATTTTTACCAGAAGGAAAACTTATTCTGAAGATCAAGGGGACACCTGACCAAAAAAACCCAATTATGTATTTTTAACAAAAATAATATCTTACAGAAATTCCTGGACTGATTATCTATCTATCTATCTATCTATCTATCTATCTATCTATCTATCTATCTATCTATCTATCTATCTCATGGTAAAGTGTATTGTCCTCCTATGTTTCCACACAACAACTCAATTAAACAGATTGGGCTAAACTGTAGTTAAGACAGGCTAGAATTACCCAGTAACTTTCTATGGCTGAAAGTGGACTAGAGTCCAGCTATTCTTAGTCCAACCACTATACCACACTGGCTCTCTGTGCAAGCGGTGGCATGCACATTTAAATAGTACCATTCTAGGCACTTATCTTTTGTCCTTGAGATTGTAGGAGGTACAGTCCAACTATCTGATAGGTATTAAGTTCTGGAAGATTGAATTAAATCATCTGATTTGCTTGTATTTTATTATACTTGGGAAGCTAAAGTTATTTGTATCTTATTTTGGTAACATTTGCAATGATAATTTGAGTATCTTTTTTTTAAAAAAAAGTCCTACAGGAAAAACCTTATTCAAGTGAGTTAATCTCCTGGTGACTTGATAGAGATATCTATTTAGTATACAGGTAGTCCTCAGATTACAAAGCAGTTGGGACTGGGATTGCCATCACTAAGTGATCCAGTTGTAAAGTGCAGTGATAGATGACTGCATCACTTAGCGATGGCAATCCTGGCAGTCCCGGTTGCCATCGTAACCCCAAGACTTGCAGGTCATTAAGTGGGAATTAGTGGGAGTCCCAGGTAAGGAGCGCAGGGGTGCTGGGGGGGGGTGGAGGATGCCAGGGGAGGGCTTGGGAGGCCCAGTGCAGGCCATGTGTGAGTCAAGGGAGGCTGGGGGAATATGTTGGGGGAGGCTTGGGAGAGCCGGTAGAAGCTGTGCACAGGCAGGGGTGGGTGCTGCAGGCAAGAGTGACTTACTGGAGTGACTTGCAACCTTCCCTTGCTGGCTTCTCCATTGACTTTGCTTGTGGGAAACTGGCAGGGAAGGTCACAAATGATGATCATATGACTGTGGCATCATAATTATGAGCTGGGCACCTGAGTGCCCGGACCATGATCACATGACCACAGGGTGCTGTGATGGCCAGAACTTTGGGGACCAGTTGTATGTCCATTTTTTCAGCACTGCCATAACTTTGAACGGTCGCTGAGCGAATGGATGCAAGCTGAGGACAACCTGTACTTGTTAGCAGTGTTAAGTGATTTGCTATAGCCACCTTCTGGGAGGTTATTTTTGTTGTGTTATTTTTTTTAAGTTTCCATTCTATCAAGCGCCCTGGTATACCTTGGAGATCTACTATCCAAGTATTAACAAAACCTGTCCCTTCTTAACTTCTAAGGCCAGCTACATGCTGCCAACAAGCCAGTTATTTAGCTTTGATTCATTTACCACAGGCATTTTTCTAAATGTTGAGGTATTATGCTACGGACATTGTGATTGATTTGCATTCTTGAGCAGCAAAGGAACTGAACATTAAGTTAACCCCCATCTTGGTCTGTCTTGGTCCATTGTTATTTTTTCCATCAGTTTTTCTATTGCATGTTGTGAGACCCTCCTAAGTTACTCCATACATAATTAATAAAAAAATATTTTTCTAAGAAGTTACAATATTTGCCATTGGTATAACATTTTAGTATGGTTTCTCAGCAAAGATGAGACCTGAAAGCATCAAACAATAATGTAATTTAATGTATAAAACATTAAAGTCTAAACACATTTACTGCTGTTACATCTTAGTGATATGAAATCACCATTTTTATAAAAAAATGTGTTTACCCTTTATATTTCAAAAGTATGGTCAAAGGTATTTTGCCTTCAAAAAGAAAGGATGATCCTTATGGGAGTGGGCAGAGATTCCCAATACAAAACAAGAATAGAAAAAAATAGATATGAGCCAAATCTCTCCAAATGACATTAAAAGTTGCATAGAAAGAAGAATTATGTCCTTGGTTAATAACCCAGGTTATTTGGGTGCTTTAGAGTAAGAATGAACAAGTAAAGTTAAGTCTAGCAACTAATTTGTTAGAAGAAAGCTTTATATGGGGTCTTTGGCTTGAACTGGCCAGCACTTATTGGAATTCTGTAAATTGATTTAATTAAAGCCATATTTTTTGAATGAAGCAGGATTCAGAGATTCATTAATCCCAATACTTTACGGGTGGAGAATCTTTTAGTATCTAGGGGCAAACTTGTGGTGGAAGGCTAAAGAGTGTAATGCTCAGACACAATATGAGTGAAACTGGCCTGGAATTTCTGTTTTTCTACAGCATACTGTATGCAAAGGTATGGACTGCTTTTTAACAAATGTACAATCTATATTGAAACCTATTGTAAATATTTGTGGGCATACAAAAACCTAGATAAGATTTTAGCCAGACATGGCCATGTGATTGGCCAGTCAAATTCATAATTGTACAGATAAACTTGGCCTCAAACTAAGGTGTAGTGATGTTAACACCATTCTATATATGGTACGGTAATATCATACAGTAAACATAGCTAAATAGTGTTTTTATTTAAGGTCACTACCAACTGTAAGAAAGATTGTGATTAGTGACCTTCTTGTAATGCCACCAGACAATATTCTTCTCTTTTCATTATGAACTTGAATATGTATGTACTTTTCCATTTGCTTTCAGATCCTGTTTAAAAGCTCCAAAGGCAAAGAAATATCATTTGTTAAGAAGAGATGGGTAAGGATATTGACAAAAATATCCTTTAGAAGTATCTTTGCTTTTTAAGGATGCATTCAGTATATCATAAAATGTGCTGATTTTAATTCCAGCCATGTTTTCATGAAATGTTGGGTGAGATTTCAGAGCAGTAATTGATATAATACTTGTGATTGCAATTGTTTGTCATGGAATATCGTTTAAAGTTCAGTTTGTTTGCTGAATGACAAAATGACACTTCTGAATCTCACATTATTTGGAGATATGTATCTTGTTTGAAATCTGTTTTCACAAAATTAAAGTATGGATAAAATATGAAAGTACACAGGGATTCTTGAAATGATCTTGAAAAATTGAAGAGGAAGGAAGGAAGATGGGCAAATGACAACCATCACAAAACCCTGCTTGCTGGACATTTTCTTCCCTCCCAAGAGAGCAATTACCACCAAGTGCCTTGTACAAAAACTTCTGAAAAGTGGAGAAGGAAGAGGGGTAATCACCATCCCCAAAGCCTGCACGGCTGGACTTTCCCTTCAGCCATTCCCCTCATGGAGTTAATTACCATTAACAGCCCTGTAAAAAGAATTCTACAGATATGGTCTTTTTATAAGCCATATTGGGAGTGTTCCGACAGGTGAAATATTTCTTAAAAATAAAGATTACCAGAATGTGTGTGAAGGGTGGGGTATAACAGAAAACACTATAATTAATTCTACTTTATAGTGTGTTGAAATTGTATTCATACTTAAATTTTATCTTTAAAAGCTTCCTTTTATGAAGTGTTTTAGATAACCATCTCTCCAAATATTTTTGACAGGAGTATAACCAAGTATACACAGCAGTTTTCTTTTCTTTTTTTAATAACTAAAGTGTTAAAGTAAGGAAATATTCCATGTTTCCGGATGGAGCTATTAATAATCCCTCTTTTTAAAAGTTCACCAAGTTTGAATATTACCAAGGAATGCTATAGTATTTTTAAAGATTTCAGACTAGTAGATTGGTGTCCAACTAGTATTGAAGTGCTCAGCAGCTTGAGATTAAATACTCTTAGACGAGTTCAAATATCATATTTCCATGCTGAGCTTGCTAGTATTCTTATATTCATTAATTCAGTGTTGTTCATAATTTAATTGTTAAGCCTTCTAATAATCATAAACTGAAGTTATGCATTGATTTTGTATTGTAGATGGAGAAGAGAAAACATATGGTGGGTGTGAAGGCCCCGATGCTATGTATGTGAAGTTGATATCTTCTGATGGCCACGAGTTCATTGTTAAACGGGAGCATGCACTCACATCAGGAACAATAAAGGCAATGTTGAGTGGCCCAGGTTAGTACGACACTCAGGTCTGAAAAAACGGGATTGAGAATTATTTTCTTTGTCTTGTAATATGTATATTAGAGTAATCTCTGGAACTAGTTTCTCAAAAAGAACAGTACAGTTTTGTTGGATTTTGTATTTCGATTTCAGTCAGAGACTATATGTCCAAGCAATTAAAAGTGCAAAATGATTTTGGAATCTTAAGGATTTGCCAATTTTCAGTTGTTTTTGCTTTTTTGAAAAGAGATAAATCAGTTTTGACTTAGATGTAATACCAGATTGGGTCAATGATATCTATTATGGAAAGAATGTAAACCCTTCTAATGATGATGATTGTACAATATTAATGTGCATCATATTCTACAGAGACTTAGAGAACAAATTCCAGCCCACTGGGGTTACTTTTTTGATATCATTAAAAAATCAGCCCAAAAAACTCTTGTGCATTCACAAACTGCAATATGCTTTCCAAAAGTGAAATTCAAGAGTGTCTGTCTGCCAATGCAAGGGACACTACTGGTGGAATGAATTTCTCCTCCTCCCTGTAGTCATTTCCTATTAAATAAATAATTCCATCCTTCTTCCTGTAAAGTGCCACACCCACCAAATCCATAACATAGATTTGGGTTCTTACAAACCAGATTTATGGGGCGAAGGAGCAAGAGAAAAGGAAAGTCTGCTTATATTTCACAGTATTGACTCACGTATGTTCAATCACATTTACTACAATTTTATTTTAGGAATAAAATTCAGGGGTAATAAACACCTATCAAAATCGGATTTAATTCAAATTTATGATAAAGATTTTTATAATGATTATCACCAGTGTGGAACAATCCCCAATCCGTTTCTTTTCAAAAATAAATCCTGCTTAATTTATAAATGCGTTTTACAATCTAATTTTGAATCCACTGTTATTTCTAAAATTGCATCTAATATTGCTAAAGGAATAGTTTTTACGTTTTAATTAGTTAAATTTGAGTTTTAGTTTCTCTACAACCTAGAAACCTAATCCACTTTGAGGACAAAAGCAAAGTTATAAAGGATAGATTCATGTAGCAGCATCTGACAGAAAAGAGTTCCTTCATATACAGCTATAGATATAATTTGTATATGTTTCACTGAGAACTATAAAAGACATCTGAATGCTGATATCCCATTAACTACTTTCTTGGCTGCTTCCCCATATTTTTTGTTCAGATTTTTTTTTATCCCACCTTTATTATTTTTATAAATAACTCATGGCAGTGAACACAGCTAATACTCCTTCCTCCTCCTATTTTCCCCACAACATTAACCCTGTGAGGTAGGTTGGGCTGAGAGAGAGTGACTGGCCCAAGGTCAACCAGCCGGCTTTCATGCCTAAGGTGGGACTAGAACTCTCAGTCTTCTGGTTTCTAGTCTGGTGCCTTAACCACGTATTACCCAAACTATAATGATTTAGGACAGCAGTCATTATATTTGTATATCTGCAAATAAAGTAATGATGAAAATGTCTGAATGCCTGTTTCTCTGTCTGTCTGTCTGTCTCTCTGTCTGTCTGTCTATCAAATTTATATCACCGACCATCTCAAACGAAGTGACTCTTGGGCATTGTACAATAATAAAATAAAACAATAAATATATAAGAACAATCATTGCTAAAAATGTAAAACTCATTCTAAAAATACAAAATATCAAGTACAGGAGAGAGTAAATTAATAATTGTGCCATCTTAGAATATCCCTGGTCCCCTGAGACCTGATGGCAAAGCTAGGTCTTAAAGGACTTTCAGAATATTAGCAGGGATGGAGCTAACCTCACTTCAGGGGTGGGGGGATGTTCCAATGTTCCATAAGGCGGGTGCCACGGCAGAGAAGGCCTGCCTCCTGGGACCCGCCAAGTATAAGTCCCAAGTGAATGAGACCCGAAGCAAGCCCTCTCTGCCAGATCTAACGGGATGGGCAGATGAACAGGAGACTTCTCAACTATAAAGCCAGCTGATCAACTAATGGATCAATCATTATCTCCCAGTTTACTAATTAACATCACAGAATTATGAAGAATAAAATGGGGCAGCCAAATATGCTGTGCCTAACTCCTTGTTGGAAAGGCAGGATAACATAAAAACAGCTCCTCACATTTTTGGAGAAATAATGCAGCAGTTGCTCTGGATGCAATCCACTCCTGGATGCAGATCAGCAATAGAAAACAGATTATATCACATATATTCTCACATACCAATCAACCATCTAAATGCAAGGTGCTGTTTTCAAACATCTAATAACACTTTCCTTGGGAGCTGATGACTAAACATGGGCTTATCTTCTAGACCACAAGGACTGGACAAAGTCAAGTCTTGAGTAATAACTATGTATGCCAGGTGCTTATCTCTTGGCTTTTCCTCCAAGAAATACATGTGCATATCAGAAGGCCAGTGAATACAAAGGAAATTGTCACAGAATGTTACTTTTAACTGTGTAGTTCTCAGCTCTCTCTCTATATGTATGTACATGTATATGTGTGTATTTTGTATATATATAAAAATACTGGCTGAAAAGGGCAGTACCATTTATTAGTGCATCGTCATACACAAGAAGTTAAATGATTTCACTCTGGTTAGTTCCAATGGTATAATTAAAATAGAAGTTGCTATAAGAACTGGTTTGACAGAATTTATAAAACAAAATATTTAAGGTGAAATCAATACATCAGAAAATACATTCTGAAATTGTTCAGGTTGATCAAATTTAAATAATTATAAAAGATAAAGAAGACATAACAAATCTAAAATACAGAAGTTCAGGTAGAAGAGGCTTCACTAAATTATGTATCTGTATATCCATACACTTCTGTATTAAACATTTATTTGTCAAAAAATATTTATGCTCATAAGTTATCTTTGTTTTTTGTGTGCACAGGCCAGTTTGCTGAAAATGAAACAAATGAAGTGAATTTCAGAGAGATTCCTTCCCACGTCTTATCTAAAGTATGCATGTATTTCACCTATAAGGTTCGCTACACTAACAGCTCCACAGAGATTCCTGAATTTCCAATTGCACCTGAGATTGCACTGGAACTGCTGATGGCTGCAAACTTCTTAGATTGTTAAATAGAATAAATTATAATAAAAATGTAAACCATCCCCCTTCCCCTCCAGTATTTAATACACATGTTGAGTTAGCAACTTTTTCATATAGCATGTTTTATATGTTTGGTCAAGAAGTGTACTAGTCACTGTGGAGGGTACTTCTCACAGTGATTTTGCATAGGAATCATTCATGCTCAGATTTTGTTTTGCTGCCTACACAAGTATGGACTTCTTACCAATTGATAAATAAACAAACATGCCAAGTTATGCATGACCTTTGCCTTATCCTTCAGCAAAAAGTAATTATGTTATCAACACTATGAATTTGCTGAAACTACTTCTTTCTAAGAACAGATCACAGTTAAAAATGGAATCCTACCTGGGAATGAACCTGTCTTCACTCATTTGGAATGCTCAGTATTGGGGTATGCTATAAATGTTTGGGTGGGTGTGGTCTTTTATGTTAGCAGATTCTCAGATTGTACTAATAAAATGGATTTATGTGGTGATAATTGTAAAAATGCGTATATAGCTATGCTTGTAACATGTTTCTTGCAGTACTCTCACACTGCATTTAGTCTGCATGTTCAGAATACTGGTAGGCATTATTACATTTACATAGTAATCTATCATGACCTTTTGCACAATTCCAGTTCTTTATTTTTAGTATCTTTAGAAATTCCCTAGTATACTGTCAAATACAAAAAAGAGAACCAAGACCGAATGACACTTCTCAATTTAATAAGAGCAAACTACATCCTGAATAATGAGGTTTTCAATCATTACTGAACTTGATTTTGTGCAGTAAATAATTTATTAAATTTATATGCCACCCGACTCCCAGCGACACTGGGTGGTTAAAAAGATTGTTAAAAACAAATACACACAAAACAAAGATGGCAGAGAAAACAAACCCAGATGAGAACAAGGGAAAGGAAGAAAACAGGCATCAATTGTCTTCCAAAGTCCTGGTGAAGAGCTACGTCTGCAGGGCCTTTTGAAATCCCACTAGGGTGGAGGCCGTTCAAATCTCGGGGGGGAACCTCATTCCAGAGGGCAGGTGCTGGTACAGAGAGGGCGCACTTCCAGGATCCCAAAAGATGGCATTGTTTAAATCAAGGGAACCTGGAGCATACCAATCCTGTCAGATCAAACCAGCTGGGCAGATACTGTGGGACAGTACAGCTTGGGACGTTAGGAACATTGGCTTTATGAATATCCAGAGGTAAAATGAAACCCAGAGCTTCACAGATCTGATATGCGTTCAAACTAAGGCATCTGTTCAGTTTTTTTTTTTTTAAAGGAGAAATTAGTAAAGATTGCTTTAAATATTGAATTTTTTTGAGTAGCCTTTGTTGTGAAATGAAGTGATCTTTTTTTTCTCCTTCCTTTTTGTGTGTGTGTTTGACTTTGAGTCAGTCTTGACTCCTGGAGACTGCCTTAACTAGTCCCTACAGTTTTCTTGGCAAGATTTTTGGAAGTGGTTTGCTGTCACCCTCTTGTTAGCACTGAGAGAGAGCAACTGGCACAAGGTCACTCAGCTGGCTTCATGCCTAGGGCGGGACTAGAACTCAGAGTCTCCTGGTTTTTAGCCTGATGACCTTTAGATCAGTTATAATCCTAAATGCAATGATCAGTAAAATATCTGAGTAAATATGCTTTGCCATTATTTTATATACTTTTCACAATGCACTACTCGGGCCAAAACAAGGCAGAATACGGGGGGGGGGGAGTCTAGAGGCCCAACTTTTCCAATTGAACTTAATATTCTACTCTTCTTGTATATACTAGTTCCCATATGGAACTGATGCAAGTTAACATAAGCAAATACTGTATGTTCCAAACAGAAATTTGCAGAAACAGTGTCTTATGGCACAATCTAGTCTAGAACCTATTACACTAGTCAACTTTGTTCTTGATCTGTGTTGCTACTACTCTTATTTCCCAGAAAGCCAATATTCCTGTTCTATTCACCATACTCAAGTCAGCTCTGTTTTGTTACCTATTTTGAACACTGTTCATATGTGTATGCATTCTGAAAGTATAGCATAACATGTTTATTTCAGGGTTATTCTCTTTCTTTTTTACAAAATGAGGAAGAAACTGAAATATTCAAATGGAAAAGGCACACAGTGAAAAAGAAAAAGTATACCATGAAATTCAGTTTTGTTTCCAAATACCCCCATTCCCAGTAGTTTCTAATTTCACATACACTGGGGATGGGAGAAACTGGAATAATTCTGTTGAGGTATACCACTGATAGTGAGGTGGCTTCCTGGTACTGTAAATGTTAGTTGCTATGCAACTGGCCCAACAAAAGGATGTGAATATAAACCTGCCATTACAGTGGGTAAGCGCTAAAACAGCTATGCTGTGAGGGAAGAACAGAATCATTCTGTTAATTGTGTGAGATGTTCAAATATCCATTTATTTATAAAAAGTAAATTATGAAATTGATAAATCTGAAACACCAAGCCCTCAGCTGATAGGAAGCTGTCTCTACACTTACACAGATATCTTAAGAGCTATTTCTACATACTTTACATTGCAAAAACACTCCACTTAAAATCTTCATACGCATGTATTCCCATACTAAAGTGCAGCCACATATTTTTAACCCTCTTATTCTTGTCCTTTATGAAACATGCTGCTTCCTACACTTGGTCTGTTTTTATTATTCGTCGCCTAGTTTGTAGTGATTAGTGTTACTTATATGCTTACAGGTTGATGGTAGCTTAGTATAAAATAATATAATTTAATTGGTGTTTAAAATGAATTATGCTTCAGAACATTCAGTTCTAATATTGCTATACTTGTTTCCTTCTTCAAACTTTTTTTGTGTGCGCGTATGTGTGCCTTTGAGTCAGTGTTGACTCCTGGCTGATTGCCTGGTCTACTCCCTGCAGTTTTCTTGGCAAGATTTTAGAAGTGGTTTGCCACTGCCTTCTTGCTAGGGCTGAGAGAGAGTGACTAGCCCGAAGTCATCCAGCTGGCTTTGTGCCTAAGGTGGGACTAGAACTCACAGTCTCCTGGTTTCTAACCGGGTGCCTTAATCACTACACCAAACTGGCTCTCTTCAAATAAACCTGATTGAGCAAAAATGTCTCTATAGTTTACAAACCATGAAAATTACTAGCAAGCAGTGTTTAAAAATAACTTGGGGGTGGGGATTGGCAGAAGGATAGAAAGCGGCATTTCTAAGCTGTTCTCTAGCAGCCCTGGATTGATGTCTCTCTTGGGAGCATCCAAATCTTCCACCTGTCTACTTGTTTGCATGTAATTTTTGATCACCATCCTATGGCTAATTGGATTGAAAAAAGACTGGTATGTTATCTATTACAGCCAGGGTAAGTTTTGCAATATGCATTTGTCAATAAATAGTGACCTCCTCCATCCCTTCCAATGTTTGCTTAGAGTACTATAAAATCCTGAGGGAAGTTAAAACTATTACTTTTTTCTTTCTGAAGTGCTGAAGAGATAAAAAGGCCACATTTTCAGCTAAACAGCTGATTTCCCCTCAGTCCATTCCTTCTTATATACATTCTTAAACCACTCATTTTGCGCATACAAAGGCAGGATTTTAGCTGCCTTTGTATGCTTCATACATTAATTCATAATGCTTCATGAATTAATATTATGAAGGTTGCTCTGGGTTACTGATGACTTAAACTAAGTTTTCAAGGAAACAACTACCTTTAAAATATGCCTACTTTGTTCTGAATGCTTCTGAATGGCCTGGCCAAAATATAAGATCACCAGGGCTTAATTAGAAATGGGATATATCCTGGAAGGCTGCAAGGTGAATCTGAGGTAGGATTAGCCATAATGTAGCCCAAATTTCTAGTCTTCAGTATACGGTCTCTCTGCGTATATTACACAGATCAGTGTTTCTCAACCTCAGCAGCCTGAAGATATGTGGACTTAGACTCCCAGAATTCCTCAACCAGCATGCTGGCTAGGGAATTCTGGGAGATGAAGTCCATACATCTGAAAGTTGCTGAGGTTGAGAAATATTGACAGACAGGTGAGTGACATTACAAAGGTCTGATAGATCTTCAACATATTCTCATTATAATAAAGAAGATCATAAAGGAAGCAATTTATGAAACATGGCCATACTTGTTAGGGGATAATGGCAGTTGTAGTCCAACATACCTTGAGGGCACTGAATCTGGGAGGGCTCTCATACAGTTGGATACTTGGTGTTCTCTTAGCTTGCTTTTCTTTTCGCAGCTGTTTCATTACCAGGCTAGGTAATATCATCAGCGTAGAGGGAGGTGACATTTGCTGGTTGTTTATATATGGTAGGTTGTTTTACCAGCTTTGTTGGGGTATTGTTTCTTCCTTGATTGTTCCTGTTTATCTGGTGCTGGTTCATGGGTATCTGGGTGCTAGTAATCGCAAGCTCCAAACCAACAATTCAATCCTGAGCTACAAATATTCTCTACTATTGTCAGCTTTTATATAGTTGGAAGGAAGCTCTGTATTTCATTTTTAATTCTTACAAAAGTACAAAATACTGCTCCCAAAGGCAAACACAGAAAGGTTCATTCTCTTTCTTTGAAGTCACATAGATAGTTTTGTTACTATCTGTTTCCCTGGAATAAAAAAGATCTGGCAAGAAGACATGCATGTCTCTGGGCACACATTCAATCCAGAATTTATGACAGGTTCCAGAATCAAGCTCACAGAACCTTTCACAGAAAACAGTCCTTGTTTTCCCCTTAATTCAGATGAAAATTGTTTAGTAACTGTCAGACAGTTGGGAGTCAGAAATCCTTGGCAATCTATTTAAAATTGCTTAGTAATCTACTAATAGATCCTGCTCTATTTTTGTTCACTTCTTTAAAGTACACCAATTTAAGTACACCAGTTAGATGAATTGCTTCCTGGCACATATAATGCTCATATATCAAAATAACTATAGGATTATAGTTTAGTGAGATGTTAACAATATATCACCCCATCCTGGGCACTTTGATTTTTTTTTTAGATTGTTTTTATCCTGCCTTTACTGTCTTTATAAATAACTCAAGGTGGAGAGCATATCTAATACTCCTTCCTCCTCCTATCTTCCCACAACAACCACCCTATGAGGTGAGTTGGGCTGGGAGAGAGTGACTGGCCAAAAGTCACCCATCCACCTTTCATACCTAAGGCAGGACTAGAACTCAAGAGTTTCCTGGTTTCTAGCCTGGTGCCTTAGATCAAACTGGCTGTCAGGGTTCATGGAAGAGAAAACAACCATGACCTGATTTACTTAAAACAGGTAAAAAGTGGGAAATGGGCATTCTGAATGCATATTATTGTACAGGCTACAAAGTAGTTTATTTGTAAAAGAAAATATGAAATCAAACATTTTAAAACAGCTTGAAGAGGAAATACAATTCCTGTATTCCAAGCCAAACATAATGAATAACAGTTTGTACAACATGAGGACTGAAGAGAACTTGTACTGGTTCCCATATCAAAGCTCAAAGGTGCAGTGTTGTGCGCAGTTAATAATATTACTCTGTGTGTGGTGGTGGGGGGGTTGCCTTCGAGTCAGTGTTGACTCCTGGCAACTGCCTGGACTTGGGCCTGCACTTTTCTTAGCAAGGTTTTTCAGAAATGGTTTGCCACTGCCTCCTTCCTAGAGCTGAGAGAGAGTGACTAGCCCAAGGTCACCCAGCTGACTTCATGCCTAAGGTGGAATTAGAACTCACAGTCTCTGGGTTTCTAGCCTGATGCCTTAACCACTACACCAAATTACTCTGTTAACCAATGGAATTTCAATAAAGATTATGGCAAAATGCTTTTTTTTAAAAAAAAATCAAATTCAAGTTCCTTATTTAATAGTCATCTTTTTTTTTTTCTATATTACAAAATTGCCATATTTGCAAATGTTCTGGATGACAAAAAAACATTTGTGGCCAATCTCATAATGGGAATTATATGGTTGTGGATGTCATTTGGCCAGATGATAGGAAAATCTGAAAGTGGAATGAGGAATCATTTTCCAGTTGCTTATGTAATAATTAATTTTCAAAATGAATAGATCAGTATATGCACACTCATGAGCATGATCTGATAAAAATATTAAAGTATCTTATTTCTATCAAAAATATTTAGGATTTTAAATTCCCTGCTCAGAGGGACAGGATGTATCTGTCTGGGTATGTTTACAAGGTTTTGCTGGATCACAGCAACTGTCCTAATTCAGTATACTTTCTTGAGCAATGAAAAACCAGACACTACCAGAAAATGAGCAGTTATTTATCATTGCATGATGTCATTTCCTATACATACCTAAGCTAATTACTTCTGTTCTGTGTTAATATAGTCTGGTTAGAATGAACGGACAGCTATTTTTATAGCATGTTAAACGCAAGCACGCATTTTGAAAGTAGGGCTACCTAAGTATATGCTGTATCTGAAACGTATGTTACTTGTGATGTCATCGCTGGCGATATGGACAAGATTCTAGGCGTCAACCAAAATGCATTTGCTTTTCCTCCAAGCTCACTAACGTAAAAGCTCCTAAAAACCTCGTCCGTGAGGTTTTTTGGCACCCTTCAACGTTGCCTTCCAGATGCAGGACCGCAGCCGAGGAAAGTACTCAAAGGCCATGCGATGTGTGGTGCGTCCACGTAGATATATACACATATTTTTTGTAAACCGCCTTGCACCCCTACTCGGGGAGCCAGCACGCCACACACATGGCCTACGATCTTACCGAGCTCTGACGCCGTAACAACAGAAGCTACGGTTTGCTTTGAACGTTTTTGTTTTTTTTAAGGAAGGCCAGAATCTCACCAGCCCGCTCGAAGAGGTCCCGTGCCCACCTGGCACCGACTACGGCAGGGCTTCGGGGCGCATGCGCGCTCTTCACGGGATGGCTGGAGTTCCCACGTGACCCAGAGGGGTGGGGGAGAGGCGAGGAGGAGGAGGAAGCGATCAGGGAAGGGTGCCGGCGTTGCCGCCGCTGCCGCCGCCGCCCTGCGTCTCTCTCGGTCCCGGCCGGCGGCGCCGAGAGCGGACAGGGTGGGGAGGCGGATCCATCATGGCGTCCATGCAGGTGAGCAGCCTGCGGCAGGCTGGAGTGGCGTGTCGATTCGTCCCCAGGTGACTCTCTCGGGACTACGGAGAAGAGCGGGGCAGAGAGCCGCGCCGCCGTCAGGGTGACAGAGGAGGAGTTGGTGACGGTTGGACCAGAGGCGCTCGCCCTCTCGCTCTCCGCCTGCGCTGATTTCCGTGGAGCGGCGGCGGTTAGAGCTGCTCTGGCGTTTCCTGCCCGGGCGGTTGGAAGTGAGCGCTGAGAGAGGAACTTCGCCCTGAAGGGGCGGTGAGAAGCCGGGCGAGGGGCTGAGAAGGCCAAAGGGAGCCTTCCCCACCTTCGTCTCCCTCCCTGCGTCGGCCGGCTGAGGAAGGGACAGGAGACGGGAGGGAAAGTCTGGTTGTCTTGCGGCTGGGAAGCGTAAGAAAAGCGGGGGGAGGGGGGCGGGCGGCGGCCAGGTTGGGCTTCATCGGGGAGAGCAGGTGGCTGTTTCCTAAGTGTGGCTTTCAAACACTTGGGTTTCTGCTTGGCCTGGCTTCGTTGGTGCTGAATTTGGGAAGACACAGTAAAACGGGCCTACTGGCTGTGACAAGTCTGTTGCTGCTTCAGGAAATTAAGTATCTTAAGAATCCTTTAGGGACGGTGTTCCTCTAGAAGTAGGGAGAAGAAGGAGATTTTATGGAGCGCCTGCATGTGAAGGTTTGAGAAAGAGGGAGAGGTCAGGAAGTATGGAAAGTCATTTTGGTGTGCTTTCCTTTGTACATTAGTCATGGCATACAGTATTTTGTTTTTGTAGGAGTGACAATAGCAGCGCAGTCACCATTGGGTCTGTCATTATCTGCATGATGCTAGGGTTGTAATTATTTGGTCTGGTCCCATAGACCAGTTACCCAGGCTTCAGTACTAGGACTTCAGAGTCACCAACGGAGCCAAGTTCAAAATAGTGGTGGAGAGAGGTGAAATAGGTCCAAAATATTCTGTTCTTCCCACTAGGTGGTTAATTACAAGTAGTCCCTGGGTTAAGAATGCCCAGGTTACAGAGGAACCATAGTTAAGAACTTGTTCTTAAACTGGGATGACCTGTACTGTTATCTTGGGCATTGTATACCCTTTGATGACAGACGTATGACAGACAGAGTTGTGAAATTCTAACTGACTTTTATTTTTTGTCTTTGCATTGGAATCAGGAAGTCAAACTCCTGCTGGTCAGCTAATTGGCTACTGCAGATCTTCCTGTAATATCTCATTT